GGAAGTCGTTAATCGACTTATCCTGCGAGGGTTTAAGACCCTGACCAGCGAAATGAAGCTTCGTCCGGACGAATGGCATCGTGTGTTGGCCCTAGTACAGAGCGCGTTGAACCACCAGCCGGCGGACCGTCTCGGCGGTGTGGCTCCAGTGACGGCGTTTCAAGGCTTGCCGTCTACAACGCCTTTAGCTGGGTTCGTACACCCAAGGACCACCAAGAAAGTACTCACGGTGCACTGGCTCTCGACGGTGCGTCAAAAGCACAAGTACGCACTGCGACAAGCCATGGAAAATATGCACCGCGACGTAGCGGCTCGAAGCGAGAAGTTGCGGCAGCAGGCGCGAGGTCGCCGCGAGAAGAAAGCACACGTGCGCTTAGCGAAGTTTGCGCTGGGTGTGCTGTTGGGAAAAATCATCAAGTTCCCCAACAAGTTGGCACTCAATTGGAAAGGTCCGTACCGCGTCGACTCGGACTATGTGATGGAAGTCCAACAGCTCGTGGAGCCGTTTCGGACGTCGGTCCACCATGCCAGCTGGCTGAAGTTTTTCAGCGATGCTGCATTGGACGTCACCGATGACCTGGTGGACTACGCCACGTTTGGCGATGAAGGTAATTTTTTGTCGAAGAACTTTTGGGCGCTCGCCGTAGCGCCGACGGGAAATTCGAAGTGCGCGTCAAGTGGAAGGGACTCGACGAAGAAGAAGCTTTTTGGGAGCCAGCCCTCCAACTCTATGAAGACATTGCGGTCGTCCTGCGCCGCTGGATCGTGAAGAATGCCAGCGACTGCGTCGTCAAGGAAATGCTCGACGACTTAGAGGCGACCCTTGGCCATTCACTTTAGGGGGAAGTGTTCTGCCGCGTCCGCAGAAGTGCGTCGTGTGCCCTTGGAAATGACCGAGGGCAAACCGCACCTATATGAAAGGTCGAGAACCGTCTGGTTTCGACGCGTGGCCGATATCGAGGACTGGTTAGTATAAAAGGTTAATACCAGTCAGTTTGCATTGTGAGTCAAACCACCGTTGTGGTTACTGTGCTGGTCGACGGAGCGTCGACAGTACGGGGTGCGGAACAATACTGTAGTATGCATGCTTGTCAGGGAAATCACAGGTGTCGAAGACGACATAGACCTGTCGTATTCCCCATCTACCTGTACCCAAGCATTATCTTTACCCAATACTTTCACGTGCTGACGCCATGGCTATGCGCACCACAGGCACTCAGCGACCGAGACTACAGTTCTGTAAGAACGTTTACCTCAGCTTACCCGTCCTAAAATGAGACGATTGGAACAGGTTTATCCGGACCATGTGTTGGAACTGTCCAATCAAATATTCTTTAAACGCATAACCATTTATACTTTACCTGGCCAGAATAATACCCTATCCGCACAATTTGTATGCATGGAGGCATACACAGTTCAAGGTTAAAAATGGTCCTCAAAAATAGAGTAAACTTGCCTGGAAAGTTGGATTTTTGTATTAACGTGACCGACCAGTGATGTGCCAAATGTTCAGCGATGTGCCGATTTATTTCATCCAATTAAATCATTCGAGCTGTATTATTGGACATAACAGAACATCTCATGCCAATAATCTTGTAAAAGTTTATGGTGGGAAAAATTATTATATGTAAAAGGTTTTCGAGTTTGAATTGACATCCAAATGCCGCCTGGACACTGTACACTGACGACACCCTGAGAGAAGCCGTTCAGACAGTCCTATCCAAAGCCCATTCAGTATAGTAATTATCCACACGAATTTTCCAATACAATTTCCCTGAAAATCCTTCGGGGAATACCGGTACAAGTAATCAGAACTACCGTGTGTTTGTTGTTGCAGCACTTCTGGAGCACCTTACCAGTACTGTCAGTACTGTAGTGCACGCCTCCCAATGTTTACGCATATCAACAACCCTGTGTACAGTACTGCACTGTAGTATGTGTAATGCGTGCAGTGCACCATCCCCATTTGCTGTACGGTACTAATACACTGTAGTGTGCGTCGTGCCGACGTACAAACATGGCCGCTTTGACGAGGTCGATAAACAAAGGGATAGGATGTACTTGTTGGCTGGTTTACGTTCGGCACTATTCCACCGCTCACCTACGTTATCCTCGCTCATCTACTACACCATTTCCCGTTCAAATTGAAATGAATTTCCAGTCAATGTGAAATGCAGAAATATTACTTCGAAGTACTTCCTCTGTTCGCGAATGCTGTTGACACTTTTTTCAAAATACCTTCACGAATGCGAAAATAGTCAAAATAACCTCCAACTATGCTCATTTCACAGCCAATTAAAAGGCCTATCTTGACCAATTTTTCAATCAATTTTATTAGATGTTTTGGCTGAGACACATGCTCAAAAGCACTGGACGGCAGTGAGCAAAATATTGAAACATTCGTAACTCACTCATTTCTTGTCCAATTCACTTCAAATCACTTGCAATCGCTTCCTCTTGAAGCGTAGATATCGCTAACACCCTTCCGAATCCCAGTTTCTGGGGAGCGCGTTACGGAGGTTTCAATGCCGCGAGGACAATCTTGTCGTGAGCTTGCGAACGACGAACGCACGGCCATATACCACTCACTGCTGGAACTCAAGGTCAATGCACGCGTGCAACATGGGTTCATGAAGGCACTCTGCGAGAAGTACAGCGTGACCCGGCAGGCCATCTCACGCATTTGGATCCAAGGACAAAGGTCCAAACACGTCAGTGGATGCGGCAATGTAATGTTGCCTCCCGCAAGGCGGGCAACTGTGGAAGGAAGGCCAAGTACACGCTTGCTCAGCTGGAAGCTTCAGTCAAGGCAGTCCCACCACATGCACGTTCGACGTATAGGAGCCTTTCCGCTGCCAGTGGGATTCCACTTGCCACGTTGTGGAAACTGCTTAAGTCCAAGGCCATTCGTCGGCGCAGCAGTCGCCTCAAACCTATGTTGACTGAGCACCACAAGGCCCAACGGATGTCGTTCGTTCGGGGGTTCATCAAGTCAACGAGAGACGGGGGTCACAGTTGGCATGATATGCTAGACAGGGTACACATCGACGAAAAGTGGTTTTACATCACAAAGCTCAACCGCAAGTACTATCTTTGGCACGATGAAGACGTACCGCATCGCAAGTGCCATTCCAAGGCGCATATACAGAAGGTCATGTTCGTGACTGCCGTCGCTCGCCCGAGGTACGACCCAGCCCAGCGCAAGATGTGGGACGGGAAGGTGGGGACTTATTTGTGGAGACCCAGGAGGCCAAGAGAACAAGCAAGAACCGCGTCCGTGGCACGCCCATCACTGTGCCCATGACGGTCACAAAAGACATCTATCGTCGCTTCATCATCGAACACGTCATCCCGTCAATTCGACTGAAGTGGCCGGGCCATCGTGGAAACACGATATACATCCAGAAAGACAATGCAAGGCCCCACGTCAGCATTCGAGACCCTGATGTCGTGGCTGCTGGTGCTTTGCATGGTTGGGACATTCGTTTGGACTCCCAGCCACCGATGAGTCCCGATTTCAACGTCTTAGACCTGGGTTTTTTTAACGCCATACAGTCGCTGCAGCACCAGAAGATGTCAAGATGCATTGAAGACCTTGTCGCGGCCGTCCACGAAGCATACGTCGAAATGGACTGGAAGATTCTCGACAAGACCTTCATGACGCTGCAAAATGTCATGAAGGAAGCGTTCAAGGCGAATGGTGACAATGTGTACGCCTTGCCCCATGCCAGCAAGGACAAGACTCGCAAGACATCCTGAGTTAGCATGCAACCCAGCTGCCATGCTGATGTGTGCGCCGCCATCGATGCAATACAAAGAAGATTTGATTATGAGGACCGGATTGAGTCATTGGTTGATTCATTTGATTCCTCGTTGTCAATGGCCCCTTCTAACCTTGACGAGATTTGTGAAATGGTCGGGAACCTCAAGTGCTAGTTGAATCACATCCTGCAGGGTTTGGTCGTATATTTACTTTTTGAATAAAATTACACGTTTTTGCCTTTTCAAATAAAATATTGCATACAAATTCACATATAATTATTTTGTTCAAACTAGTGTCAACAACAGTATTTGCGAACAGAGGAAGCATAAGATTTCACAAGTGCAGTTTCACATCTCAACATGAAAAATGTTCACTTGGAAATGAAACGTTAAACTTACGTCAACTATAGTATAGTGACCATAAGGTGATGAATTATACTACCCTTCAGTATATATGTACAATAGTGATTCAATCATCATGTCTACCCTCCCTCACCCATCTTCCTCCTTTATCCAAATCATACACCAGGATATACCGGTATATGAAACAAAGTATGTTTCAAGTGGAATGTTAGAGAATTCATGTTGATTTGAAAATCGTCGTGTTTCGAACGTGTTCATTTCACATTGACTGGAAA